TAATATTGCAAACAGAGCGTGCGTTCCAGAGGGCAGTATTGAAGGAGGATTTAGAGGAACATGAGATGGGTATGAGATTAGTGTGGATCCTTGGGTTAGTATGTGGTGAGTTTGCCGAGAGGGGATCAGGGTTTGGAGAGACATCACCAGCTGCTAGGAGCAGAAGGATACAAAGGACGTGAAGGTGGAAGTAGGATTTGAAAGTTTTGTAGGAGGGTATGTATGTAGAGGGTTTTGGAGGAGTTGGTGGAGATAGGCTGGAAATGTATGTGTAGAGTGCATGGGATGAATAGAGAGGAGAGGGGAGTAAGGTGGAAGTAATGACGATGGTGTTGCCAGGGACAGGTGAGCGAAAGGATAGGGATATTTTAGTAATGACAGAAGTTAGTGTTAAAGTGAAGAATAGAAGGGAGAACATTAGAGAAAATGTGTATTATGTATATATGTATATCATATATACACACACACAAATATCAATGAGTGTTTAAACCATTGTAAGGATGCAGTGTGTTAACAGAGGATTTCAGGTGAGGAGAGGTTTAGTGACTTGATTGGTGTGTTTAGGAAACCAGCTGATTTGCACTATCTATAAGTAAGGTAATGACCATGGGGTGGGATGGTGTGAGGAGGGGAGGGTGGGCAATCTTCCAGAGATGATACCTCTGCTCAGAAGATTCTGCAGGACTTGGTTGCTTGGGAGTGCTGGGTGTTAATGCTGTTTTAAGGGGTCCAGTCTGAAATATAAGGTCTGAGGTTAGAAAAAAAAGAAATAAAACACACTATTATGGGTGGGGAGACATGGGGCTATTGAGGTAATTAATTAGTGATGAAAAACTAAAGGAGAGAACTTTGGGATAAAAAGATATGAAGGATCAGATAGGTGAAAGTCATAAACCATGAACATAAATGTACAAGATTATCAGTGAGAGCAGTAACACTAGCTAAACAAACAATTAAACAAAGAGTCTTAGAGAATGAACAGGAAATGACATGATCATACCAAAAACAAAAACAGAAGATCAGGATGGGCGATATAGTTATCAATTAAGTAGTGATAGTATCGGGAGGGAGATGGAATAGAACACAATTTTAAAATAAGAGTTTAAAGGAAACAGTAATGCAGGAATTCTTGAGTAGATCTTCCAGAGATGATACTTCTGCTCTAACAGCCATCTGAGGAGTGGCCAGTGAAGTTATCACTAGGCTGTAATGTAAACACTGCATTTTCTCTGAAAAGACAGTGTTTACAGCAAAAAGCCTGAAGGTAATGATTCTACTCACCAGAACAAATTCAATAAGCTGTAGTTTTTCTGGTGTCTATTGTGTCCCTTTAAGCTTTAGTTCTAAAAATTTGTAGTTTTTTTTACCCCCTACATTTGCCTTTAATTTAGAGACGATATAGTGTATGTTTAATGCAGTATATTCTATCAGCACGTAAGTTATGAAAAAAGGTATAAATCGTAGGTTTAATAATGAAGACTTATTTTGCTCTTATCCTATGCTCTGTCTGGGATCCCCAATGTACATTTTCATTTTTATTTTACTATTAAAAAAGGCATTTGGAAACCAATCCATTGCTTACAATCTTTAGGGTGCTATTAGAGAAATGACTGGACTTGTTAAGTTACGGTCTGAAGGTAAAACTCTGGTCTAAGTGCTAATCATTTCATGGTAAATAGGAGAAATGTTACTCAGTTACCAGAGTTAAATGTATCTCTTGTAATATAATCCAGTCCTAAATGAGAATAATGAAATACACTGAATTAAATATCTGTATTAATTATTTAATTTATATTTATTAACTGATGTCTTTTAATCAAACTCTGTGTATATTGCACCAGTATCAGTGATTTATTTGGAGCAACTTGTTCTTTAACCCCTTCAGGACCGAGGATGGTTCAGGACCGTCATTGGCATTTTTGCGTTGCCGACCGTTGACGGTCCTGAACCGTCCTAACGGTGCAAAGTATCCGATCGGCGGTGCTCACGGTGTGGGGAGACTGCCTGCAGCCCAGACAGTCTCCCCACGGCGGATTAGGACCCCGGGGGCCATGTGATCGCTCAACAGAGCGATCACATGGTCACAATAGGTGTCCATGTGTCTGCCTGCAGGGGGACTGTCTGTGCTGACAGGCAGTCTCCCTGCAAGTGTAAAATAAAAAAAAAATTAAAAAGTTAATGTTAATTAAAAAAAAAAATTATATATGTGTATATAAATATGATATATAGACATATATTTTATATATATATATATATATATATATATATATATAATATATGTTTATATATCATATATATAATGTCATACTAATTGTATTTTTATATTAATACGTACATATATTAATATAAAAATACACTTATAATTAAATTACACACATATATATATATATAATATATATAATAACTGTATATATTGTATATAAATATTATTATAAAATACAAATAATAAGTAATTTAAATTAAATAAAAACATGTAAAAATAATAATAAAAATTAAAAAGAATTATATATCTATATGAAATTTTATTCTAACTGTATTTTGATAGTAATATATATATATATATATATATATATATATCTATATATAAAAAAACACAGTTAATGGCACTCACCCTTGCTCCTATAAAAAATAGTATAAATGCCCTGGTGCAATCCCATGCTTGTAAATAGTATTGTTTGAAAAAAGGATGCACTCATAGGTCTTTAAGCAAATAGTGATAATATTTAATCCATAAAGGGTTTACAAATCGCTTGATCGACGTTTCGACCCATTAGGGTCTTCCTCAGGATCAATATGTAAACATAAAATCAAGATATATATAGAAAAACATAAAGTGTACTCACCAATTGTGATTAGATTCCCTCCAGAAGTGAAAACCGGAAGTCACGTGACGTGAAAAAATTACGTGTACCACAATTGCCCGTGGACGTGGTTGCTAGGAAACCAATAAACACATTAAAGAATTGGTCTCAAAACCGGGTGAATATTGGAATATAAGTGACTATTTAAATATTATATGTGTAGCCAACGTATGAATTATATACAAAGTCATTGTATGCATGTAGCAGTGAATAAAGTAAAGTGGAAGTGCCTAGAAAAATATATATTATCAAACGTGAAGTGAATTTGTATAATAAGACAAATACCATAAATATTAAAAACATAAATGCCTGCCATGGATGAAAACTAAAGTATAGCATTATATATTGTATTATCCATAAAACATCTATTATTATTTATAGACTTAAAGGCAAAGGCATGGGCAAATTATAGAATCAAATTGTGTGATATAGACCACAGAAAGATTTCTACAAAAATGGTATTCTGCAGTCAAAAGAGGTTTTGCAAAATGTTCAGTTAACATATGAAATATGAGATTATAGCTCCAAAAAATTAAAAAATATATATAGACCTAAGATTTCTGGGGAATTCAACGTCTATGAAATTTATATCTTAAAGGGTCTGCAGCCAACAGGATATATATTCCACAACAAGTATACGGAGGAATATCTATACGAAAAAACTTTAATCTGTATATTAGAACCATAGTTATAATGGCAAATTAGAGACCAACTAGAGAAAAACTGAATAGAGAATGTTCTCATTGAGTCCCTTCGGTGCTACAGTATCCAGTCGATGTATCCAACGTGCCTCTTTTTGTAACAGCATTCTAGATCTATCTCCACCTCTAGGCAAAGGGGGGACATGGTCGATTGCTGTGAAACGAAGGGTTGGTAATCTATGTCCAAGAGCGAGAAAGTGTTTCGCCACTGGCTTGTCACTATAATTGTCCCGAAATGCAGTGGTAATTGTAGATCGATGGCCCCGTATCCGGTCCCTGAGGGTAAGATCCGTCTTACCCACATAAAATAATCCGCACGGGCAAGTGATTAAATAAATCACATGGTCAGTGGTACAAGTAATATAATGAGAAATATTGATTCTTTGACCATTATGAGGATGGACCAAAGTGGCCCCACTGACCATGTGGCTACAGGTAACACATCCTCCGCATTTGAAACATCCTTTCTTGACAATTTTGGTGGCTTTTACGTAGCAATGTCTGGGGTCATTCTTTACGAGAATATCTTTAAGATTTCTGTTCCTCCTATAACTCAGCATAGGTCGATTCTGAAAAGATTTAGGTAGTTGTTTGTCTGTTTGTAACATATCCCAATGTTTATAAATAGCATATCTGACTCTTGGAGTCCCTGTGTGGAAAGTTAAGGGTAGGAATATCCTGGATGTTGATGTTGTTTTAACTCTTTTGTTTTTCATTTCAGATTCCCATATTTCTTTAGCTCTTTTTAGTGCTGCTTCAAGAGTACAAAAAGGATATCCCCTAACCCTAAATCTATTCCACATCTCTTGAAGTTGTGTTTCACATCTTTCTTTGGTGCTGTTATATCTGTATACCCTCAAAAACTGGGATATAGGTAGAGAAGCTTTAAAGTTTCTAGGATGAAAACTCGAGGATAGTATTAAGGTGTTAAGTTCTGTCTCTTTACGATATAGGGTAAATTCCAACTTGCCTTGATTTTTGAATATAGTCACATCCAGAAATTCTATAGATTGTGTGTCACATGTCATGCTTAACTTCACTGGTGTGGAAGCTTGGTTAATCTCTTGTAACATTGAGTCCAATTCCTCCATACTGCCCATCCAAACCAAGAAAATATCATCTACAAACCGATGATAATGTTTAATCTGATTCCCATATTTTTGTAGAATCTGTGTGCTTTCAAAAACAAACATAAAAGCATTAGCATAAGATGGTGCCATTGCTGCACCCATGGCTGTCCCGGACGTTTGTAGAAAAAAAATATTTTCAAATTTAAAGTAATTACATGAAAGAGCAATATGTAAAAATTCCATTAGGAACTCTATAGGTGGTCCCAGATAAAGTGAAGAGGAACTAAGGACATCCCTCAAAGCCTGGACACCGTCAGTGTGAGGTATGACGGTGTACAGGCTTTGGACGTCCATGGTAACTAACAAACATGAGTCTTCAATGTCTGGAGTTAAATTGATTTTATGGATAAAATCCTGAGTATCCCGTAAACATGTGGGAAGTGCCATTACACTTTTCTTGATGTAATGATCAATGTACTTCGTGACAGGTTCAAGTAAGCCCTCTTTGACTGACACAATTGGTCTGCCTGGAGGTGTTATGGGGTCCTTGTGGATTTTAGGTAGTGTATATAGCACTGGATGTTTCGGGTTTGCAACATACAGGAATTGTGCTGTTTTTTCATCTAAATATCCATTACGAATTCCCAATTCTATGTGGTTTTTGATCCTTGTCTGAAATTTACTTACAGGATCATATGTGAGTTTCATATATGTGGCAGTATCATCCAATTGGCGTAATATTTCTTGATGATAGTTTCGATAAGATTGTATAACCGTAGCTCCACCCTTGTCGGCAGAGTGAATCACAATATTGGGATCACCACTTAGGTCCTTTAAAGCCATTTTTTCTCCTTTGGTGAGATTTTGATGATATTTTGGAGGATTCTTAAACATTTGTTCTGTGTCCGCTTTTAAAGTCTGGATAAAGGTTTTGATAGAAGGATTGGACGTACGTATATCTTTATTAGATTTCTTGTAGAATGGATGGACTCGTTCTGCTATATTGTCCTTCCTAATTTCGTTACTATAGAATGTACGTTGAGTCTTGTATATTTCAATTTCCATTTGGAAAGGCTCTGGTCTGGAAACTGGGACAAATGAAAGTCCTTTGTTCAAAACGGAGTAATGATCAGCATTTAAAATTTTCTCTGACAAATTGAATACAGATGTAATTTCCGTATTCTGGGGGGTCTTCCAGTCGGATTTATGTTTTTTCCAGTTGTTCTGTCCTCGTCGTATTGGGTGGTTCTTTTTGCGCCTCTGGTATTGATACAGGGAATGTCTGGTGGTTCTCTTAATTGTGGACCTCCTTCTAAAAAATTGGCCCCAGATTGGGCTCTGCTGTCACCCCTGGTGTCAGGATCAGACGTTCAATCCCCAGAGCTGGCATCAATCGTTTGAAAAGATGGTTTTCGTATTTTGTTTCTAGATCTCGCATTGAACCTATAGGTATCCTGCGAGCCTCCCAGCCATCTATATACCTGGTTATATCAAAATACACTAAGAATGAAATTGTATACTTTTTTCACACACAAACAAATATGAATGCTAACTTTGGCCAGTGTTTGTGACTAAGTGGCTACTAAAAAAGACTGGACATGCCCCATATTGAATACCCTGGGTTGTCTACTTTAAAAAAAATATGTACATGTGGGGTGTTATTCAGAGATTTATGACAGATAATAGTGTTACAATGTCACTTTTGATAAATTTTAAAAATGTATGTTTTGAAACCGCAATATCCTACTTGTACCTATAGCCCTATAACTTGCAAAAAAGCATGTGGGTATTTTTAAACTCAGGACAAAATTTTGAATCTATTTAGCAGTTTTTTTCATTCGTTTTTGTAGATGAGTAAAAGATTTTTCAAGTAAAAGTAAAAAAATATGTATTTATTTTTCAATTTTTCATCATTTTTTTTTAAATTAAATTACATGAGATTATATAAATAATGGTATGTAAAGAAAGCCCTTTTTGTCCTGAAAAAAACAATATATAATTTGTATGGGAACAGTAAATGAGAGAGCGGAAAATTACAGCTAAACACAAACACCACAAAAGTGTAAAAAGAGGCCTGGTCGCAAATGTACAACATCGCAAAAACAGTCCAGTCCTTAAAGGGTTAAATCCAAACTGTCTATTACACTAAGACAGATTTCCAATGAAATGCTGTTTGAACATTGACAAGGTAAAGCAGCCCTGGGATGCAGAGCGGTACCAATAATGTCTATTTGTGCTGTTTGCTATCAATGTGTTTTCTAATTCTTTTCTGCGCCTTGTGTGACTCGAAGAGCGTTGTGTGGCAGACACTATAATCCAATTTATTTGTGTCTTTAAAGGCTCTTTTTTCAATGATCTGCAGTGAGTAAGGGCAATATATTACCTTCTCCAAGTAATGCATTTTATTCGTTATTAACTCAAAATTCCACCCACTCTATTTCTTGATTTACCGGTAGCTCGAGATATGCTTTACAATGTGTTTTCTTTTTTCATATTTCAATTTAATGAAGATGAATGCGGTCTTTGTAATCCAAAGGGTGACAGCTCTTTCACGCACGGTCATTTGTATCTAAAATAGTAGAGTAATCTATCCTATGGACCAAGATCCCCTGGGGTCACTGAGCTTGGCGTATGTTCACTGAGACAGGAGCTATGCACAGGTAAATGAATTTACTAAATTAGAGAACAGAAGTTGCATGAAGTGATCTCTGCAGGATAGAATAAGGGGCAGCTCTATAAATAAGTGCAAATAGCTGTTTTCAGCGTGTTACAAGAAGTTAAAGGTTTTCAAGAAATACATTTTAGTGATTGTTTTTTCTTGCTTTTTATTATCCGAGCAGAGGTCAGCCGGAAGGACATTTGTGAAATAACTTTTCTTTAAAAGAACTGAGGTGTATTGAGAAACATGAACCGTAGATTTCAAAGTAACTTAGAATAAACTTAAAATTACCAAATGCTTAGCCAACGGTAGGCCAAATTGTCTCATTGTCCATTCCCTGTGTATTCTGGCAGAAAACAAGTTGAGAAGGTGATACGATCAGAACGATGAGAGCGTGAATGTGGGTTCCATCTGTACAGAGGATGTAATTTGGCAAGGTGCTCATTCTGCTGAAATAAAATAGCCATTAAATAATAATACTGATATCCACATTCAAATTGAAGGGAAATTATAATGTGAGTTTTGCAGATGAATCTTCTTTCATTATGTGTGATAGCTAAATTTGCATTTATTGATTGTGTTCCCTCTGGTATGTGATTACTGATGGGATGTTCTGCAGACGTCAGGACAAATCGCTATTTCGTGTCTGTTTTAATCTGTAGAAGACAGATTTATTTTTTCTTAAATCATCAAGGTCACCTATAATTTAACCGGGCATTTTAGGAAAGCAGAATAACATAGTTCTTACAATCGAAGGAATTTATTATTTTTTATTAATTCATTTCTTTTTTTTTACCTATAACCTACGTCAGTGAAATTAAGAGTCAGGTTCTCATCAGAGAATCCTCTGCGTGTTAATATTTAAACCTTATAAAATAATAATAATAATAATAAAATCATGGACAATAATGGTTGGCATACATAACCTAAACATACTTAGAAAAAAGCTCAAATACTCCATGAGGATCTTGCTAATATAAGCAGAATCTGGTTATTTTAAAAACAGGGAAAAAAACAGTAGACTTTGAGTTTAAGTTCATTACAAACTGCAAATCGTCCAAATGTGGGTCAATAAGGGGATTGTCAAAATTGCAGCTTTTTTTGTATCATCATATAGACGAATCAGGAAAAAATGAAGCGTGCAATAGAGGAACATGTTTGTTTTAATTCAGGATTTGGATTTTAAAAGAGCTGATTGGTGATTGGTGGGAGAAAAGATAATTGCTGGGAACAATCACTCATCGATGATTTTTTTTCAAGTAAGAAGTGATAAATAAAAAGATAAAAGTAGGAGCAGCAAAAAACAAGATTTATATATTGATATATTGATATAAAACAGATAAAAGTAGTATCTTGTTATACCTTTTTTATTGGACTAACAGAATGTTTTAATGACAAGCTTTCGGAAGAACCTCCCTTTCTCAAGTCTGAAGCATTTCTGAGCCAGACTACACATGGAATTCAAAGTTGAGTTGTGATACAGGCGTTAAAGCAAAATGAGTTCAGATAAGACACAGGTTTGATAGAAAATAGACACCATTTGATATATTTAATAAAGATATATAAATATACAAATGTAGTACTGCTCCAATTCCTTTACTCGTTGTTGTATAATGTTTCGCTCAAATGGCAGGAAAATGCTATATATGTTATGTATATGTTTATCAGTTCTTTGACTGGTCCATTTTTGATTTGTTTTTACGAATCTTTTTTGGCAGATGAAATTCGTCTGTCTTGGTTTTTTTTACTTTTTTTTTATTTTGGGATAAACTGGTTTGGCCAAAACACATTTTTCTGCCTTGCACAAGTCTACATAATAATTCTCAATGTAATACTTCTGCTAGCATCTGTGACTGACAATGTATCCATTTTCTTTAGCTATCGATGCGCTCCGGTCCTACTTTCTATGTTACTATGGTCCATTTGGAGATTTTAAATCAACAAGCTCCTTAGTACAGACAGATAATTTACTTTAAATGAAGCATTATAGTGAATACATCGTGCCCTGGGTAGAAGTAAAGGCCATTTCGGCTGGATACTGCACAGAAAGCATGCTTCACGAGAAATTAGTGTGAAAAAAACAGAGTTTAGAAAAATAAAATAGTCACCTTTAAAAGCCAGTTACAGCCCCGTAGCAGGAGATAGCCTTTTCTTCTTTGTTGGTAAGCGTTATTGACATCTGTCTCTTTCAAACAGTATTTGGCAGTTGTATCTCAATTCTTGTAAAAAGCAATCATTTAACAACACATTTCTTGTTTGGCCTCTGAAGTCTTTTTGATAACAGTAATCTCTGTCCATCAAACAGAATAACTTGATCCAGGCTGAGACAGACATACTTGTCTACTATAAATCCACAAACAATCCTATCTTTATATACATTTTTTGAAATTTAGAAAGTAAGATTTTTCTCTGATAATATTATATAGTATTTATGTCCTATGTCAGCCAGGGAACATTCTTTTTGGAATATTAACCTCTTGTATTAATGTCTGTCAAAGTATTGCAGATTTATTGGAAGAGTAACTCAGCAGATAGTATAATTATCCTGAATATGATAGGATCAATCTGTACGTCATAGAATAGGATATACTCGTGTGTTTTAGGGCAACCCTGAATGTGATAGGATCAATATGTATGTCATAGTATAAACCTGTACGTGATAGGATCAATATGTGCGTTATAGGGTAACTCTGAATGTAAGAGGATCAATATGTACGTGATAGGATAACCTTGTATGTGATAGGATCAATATGTACGTGATAGGATAACCTTGAATGTGATAGGATCAATATGTACATTATAGGATAACCCTGTATTTGAGAACATAATGCTGTATGTGATATGATAATGCTGTATGTGATAAGATAATGCTACATTTCATAGGATCCATTTACAGATGACAGGATAACCCTGTTTCTCATAGGGTAAACCTCTGTGTGATAGGATCAATATGTACATGTAAGATAGCCCTATGTATTATAGAATATCCATGCATATGGTAGGATAACCCTGTATGTGATAGGATAACCCTGCGTGTGATAGGATAACGCTGCGTGTGATAGGATAACCCTGCGTGTGATAGGATAAACCTGTATGTGATAGGATCGCTGCGTGATCCCTGCATATGGATAGGATAACCCTGCGTGTGATAGGATAACCGCTGCGTGTGATAGGATAACCGCTGCGTGTGATAGGATAACGCTGCGTGTGATAGGATAACCCTGCGTGTGATAGGATAACGCTGCGTGTGATAGGATAACGCTGCGTGTGATAGGATAACCCTGCGTGTGATAGGATAACCCTGCGTGTGATAGGATAACGCTGCGTGTGATAGGATAACCCTGCGTGTGATAGGATAACGCTGCGTGTGATAGGATAACGCTGCGTGTGATAGGATAACGCTGCGTGTGATAGGATAACCCTGCGTGTGATAGGATAACGCTGCGTGTGATAGGATAACGCTGCGTGTGATAGGATATTCCTAGAGGGATAGAATAATCTGTAGTTTGACTCCTCTTGTATCCAGACCTTTGCCTAGAAAGAGCTGACATTTAGAACATTGTACTAACTGTGAGTTCAGAAGTAAATTTTAGGAAAAGGATTCGCTGTAACATTTTCCTGCAATTAAAACACCTATAAAACGAAATGTATATATTTATTTTTATCATGTTTCTTTTTTTTCTTTCGATACCCTCAATTCTTATTTACTGCCCATAGAAATCTGCCATCTAAACATATAGAAAAAAGACAGTTTAAAAGACACCCCCAGTATTAATATTCAAAGGGGATTGTGCTTCTTAAACTAGGAAAGAATGCCATATTAGACATACTCGTACCCTTCAGATATTTATTAAAAGGTCGTATGTCGTTAAGTGTTAGTTGAATGTGCAAGCTCACTTTCAGGCTGTTTGGTGACTGATTGAAAAATCCAAATACCATATAAATTGATCAAATCCAGTCATTTGTTTAGAACCCTACATTTTGCTAATTCAGGTTTACATTTGGGATTTCAAATAATTTGTCTGGCTGGATGCACACATAGTCAGGGCATTACCCAGTGTATATCAGAGACATTTAATTGGTTTCACGTAGTACTTGAGTCTTGCATGAAGTGAATAAAATCTATTGACGTGTATACATGGCACGGGAGACTCATCTGTGGAAAAAGGTGAATATCAGGTAAAAATCTCAGAGCAGGACTGACCCTTAGTTTAAGCAATGCCGTGGATGGATTAGGCACACTGGTGGACTGGATAATCCTCGTAGATGGAGTCCGATGCCCTACAACAGGCATAGCTACAGGAGACTTAACACTGAGTAGTTTGAAGGCCAAATACAAACAACAGCTCTGACATGGAACACATTCTTCATTAGTTATTCACCATATCAACTTAAACAGAATTGTTTACACGTTTAAGGCCATTTAATAAACGCTTGCTGGGTCTTTATCCTGTTTATTTTTAATGCTAGTATTTATATTTTTAATAGAATCCTCAGTGAATGGTTTATTTTTTTGGGTTGAGAGTTTTCACTTATATTTTGGGATGTCTGAGACACCCGCTATGAGACTGTCCCACTGCGTCGCTTATCGCGCATGGTGTGTTAATTGTACTTTTAGACATTTGTGTTTCTGTGTGCATCTTTTGATTATAAAATTCGCTTTCAATATCTTTTTATGGATGATCATATTTTACCAGGAGAATTTATTAAGGTGTATCTTTTGGTCCAGGCTCTAAAATTGCATAATGTAACTGTTCGAGAAGAATATTGGGGATTACCCCCCCCCCCCTCTTTATTTCATGAATCTTAATATTACATTTCAAAATGATTTTATGAAAATCTTGTTTTACATAGTAACATTTGCTTTGCATTCCTCATTTTTTTCTTGTTGCTCCAAATGTCATATTCCTTTTGTATCCCTCTTTTTATTAGTGTTCATTATTCTGGTCCATCTCTCCACTCACCCACTTCATTGTATAAAACAAACTGTGCAGTTATTTGTTGATTTCCCTGTTGTCTTATAACGCATAGCTAACAGTATTTGCTTTGAAATGTATAATGAATACTGATGTAAAATAAAAGTTAAAAAAAAGGTGGGGCACTCACAAATGCAGATGAGTTAATTTATTGAGGACCCCACCTCTCCCCACCCCTCAATGTCCCAGAGTTAGAAATTTGGGGGATTGCTAAAAATCTACAAGCAAGGTTTGTATTCACTCGGGAACGCTAGCAGAAGAATTCCCTATTCCAACACCACACATGAGACAAAGTGTAGGTTGATTTAACAGCAGGGATCCCCTAAATTATCTAATAAGCACTAGAGACTTGTGCAATGATGCCATATAACCCATGGACTATTGGCTAAATTTGATATAACTGAGCAGGTGGGCTTGATGTGCTAAATATACGATTCACTACTAAGAAGATTTACAGGATGTGCTCAGTTCAGAGGCACAATAACAGGGGTTCTTAATTCATATAACAGGTCTAGCTAATACCAACTCATTGTACCCCCTAGCAGCTACAATAAACCATGCCCCTACTGCTAAATATATGTTGTCATGCGAGCGTCTTTTGTGATCTGATCCTGTAAAAGAAAATCATTTCTTATTTACCAGATTAACTGTAGTTGGGTGACATCACATATTTTAACCAATAAACTTGGCCCCAATTGTTACTGTCTGAATTTGCTACTGAACATTGTGTCTATTCCAGATAACTGTCCACGTGTTCTCTGATAAATGATTTAAGTCCACAAGATATTCACTCTCACTGTTTATTGGTTTATCCTAGATTCATGCGTGACTTATCTTTAGCGAAGATTCTGTAAGAACATCTTCATTATTCTTCTCCTGAAACTGCTTGGTGAGAGTTGTATGTTATGGATGTAACCTAGTTTCATATCGTCCTCATTTCATTATATTGATTTATCTGCTTTTATCTAAGTTCCCCATTGATTTCTTTGGAAAAAATAAGGACAGTTGGGGTGGCAATTCTTTTCTGATCCTGCTGCACTAAATTTCAGCACATAAATAAAATCTTAGAAAGCGAAGAAAGAAGTAATAGACATTGTGCAGAGAGTGCTTTAAAAAGAATGAGACGTGTTTGTTTTGTTTTACTTAGAATGTCATGCGTTTACAAGACGATCTCCCACTTTTATAAATAAAATCATTTTAAAAATGTGAATTATTTACATACAGATCATATATAGAGATAAAAGATTTTGAGCTCCACGTTCACACTCCAGTCCTTCCTATTAACCAAGATATTATGTAGAATTGTCACATCAGGTTCAGTATTCAGTCTATGGGGAGCTGCAGGGTTCAGTATTCAGTCTATGGAGAGCTGCAGGGTTCAGTGGTCAGTCTATGGAGAGCTGCAGAGTTCAGTATTCAGTCTATGGAGAGCTGCAGGGTTCAGTATTCAGTCTATGGGGAGCTGCTGGGTTGAGTGCCCAGTCTATGGAGAGCTGCAGGGTTCAGTCCTCAGTCTATGGAGAGCTGCAGGGTTCAGTGTTCAGTCTATGGAGAGCTGCAGGGTTCAGTGCTCAGTCTATGAAGAGCTGCGGGGTTCAGTGGTAAGTCTATGGAGAGCTGCAGAGTTCAGTATTTAGCCTATGAAGAACTGCAGGGTTCAGTATTCAGTCTATAGAGAACTCTAGAGTTTTGTATTCAGTCTGTGAAGTGCTGCAGAGTTCAATGTTTAGTTTATAATGAGCTGCAGAGTTCAGTGCTCAGCCTATGGAGAGTGGCAATATGTATGGTTTAGTCTATGAAGGGTTCCGTTTTTAGACTGGAGAGTCTGTTCCCAATCTAAGAAACAAAACAGGCAGAAATCTTTCTGTTTCTCCATTTCAGACGTTCCCAGTTTTCAAGTGGACCTTTTCTACTAAGCTGCTTGTTGTGTTGAATCTAGTTTTTTTCCCCTGCTGATTGAACCTTGGCAGGCTTTACACGCATGCTGCACTAGGATATTTAGATTTAGTTTTGTTTTTTTTGGCACAGCCATTGCCACACTCTATGATCTATGTTTTCTGACAGAGGACTTTATTTATTTATTTATAAAATATTTTACCAGGATGGATACATTGAGATTTCTCTCGTTTTCAAGTATGTCCTGGGTCTTTGTCCACAGAACATTGCATTGTTACAATAGGATACAATATTAAAAAATTTGATATATAAGATCTAGATTGCCGGTTCCTACAGGATTAGCGCTCTTATCTCCTCCTATGGAGGAGATGAGAGCCCTAATCCGTATTTGTTTGTGAAATTTTCCATTGTCTCAGATGTATTGTACCTTTGTCTTTTTATTTGTACCAATTGTATCCATGTGCAGCTCTGCGGAATGTGTTGATGTTTTACAAATAAAGAATAATAATAATAATAATAGTAATAATATGTCACGAAGCAGAAACAAGACATTTTCCATAACCCTACCACTAAGTGAATTCCAAATATAGGCTAAAATATTGAGTTGGAAAAAATCTTCTATGTATTCAATTATTGTTTGAATCTTTGTTGCCATCTCAACAAAACTCACAAATAAAGCGTCACAGTAAATAATGGACTCCAGCACGAATATAATAAAAAAATTCTGTTTTAAAAAATGCACATTTGAGGGGGGGCAGAGCCTGATTGTCGTAGAGGATAGACGCAGCTCAGATTAGCTCTTCCACAAGCCTGCTAAAAACAGCAACTTACAGCCTGCTAGTGCTGGCTCTGGGTCAGAACAAGCAAAGTCCGGGCGACCTGCTATGTCGGGAAGAGGTCAACATCTCAACGAGAGTTTGTTAACCCCACTATAACAAATGCAGCCAGGTGCAGGTCAGACGGGGGATGCAGCCAGTCTCCTGAACTGGAGGTGCCCCGAAGCCACTAACCCTGCACAAGTGCCCCATTCCCCCTGCCCTAGACTTTCAGGGGTGATCCTGGTCTTCTCCTGGGAGGCTGCCCAAAACAGGCAAGAAAGAAGCTGACATTTTGCCTCTAAGCAAACCATCTAATCTGATGTAAAACGCATGGCACCCAACCCCCAGCAGAAATTCCAGCGATGTGCTCACATGGCTGGACAGGCTTTTTCTCACTGTAGCAGAACTTACCCAGTCCTCGTGCCGAACACTCCTGACTCCTGGCGGGCCGCGCACGCTGATTGGTCTGACTGGGAGAGCTGCCCGTACAGTATTAAGAACGTTGCTCGCATCGCAAAAAACGAAAATCCAAACCTTGCGGTCGCCTCCCATTGGCCCAAGTCATTGTGATGTTCCCATTCACACACCTTTTGGGGTGCAGGCATGATGTGGACCAATCAAATTAAACACAGAATTATTTAAACTTACCTGGCCCTAGATAGTGTGCCCTATTGTGGTTTTTGTTCCCAATACCCTTTAGTGCATTCCTTGAGTTATTGTATTGTATTCTGGTATTGACCTTGGCTTAGTTTCCTAACTCTGAGTTTCTCTTTAATTCTTGTGTGTCTTGT